GGCCACTGAGCATCATCTCTGCTCATCCGGTCCACCAAGCAAGGGGGAAAGAAAGGGAAAGTGGGGAGGGTGAGCTTTGTCCTCAGCCGAGCCTGAGAACTTCTGGATATGGCCCTTGCTAGGGCCAGGACAGAGCCCACCAGGTAGGAGAAGTCTGAGGTGAGCCCCTCTCTACAGTGTGCATGGGAGGAAGACATGCAGTTGTAGACTGGCCGCTGCCCAGCTACCAGGAAGCTTTCAGCTCAGCCTTCGAGGTCCTTCTCCACTCCCCATGACTTAAAATTCAGAAAGTTCTTCCCATACTTCTCTATCACTTCCCAGAAAAGACCACCTGCTGGAGGAGAACCTCTGCCCCTCAGTGGGCGGCAGGTTGGGAGGACAATTGGGAGGGAAAGGGTCTAGTGGCTTCTTCCCTCAAGTCCTCCTTCCAAGAGCTGTCAGACAGTTCCCACGGAGGACTCTGGCTTCTGTTCCAAGACCCCCTGCTTTTCAAACTCCGGCTCCTTAGAGGCTCCAGGCGCCCTGCCCCAACCAGCTCGTTTCTGTGCTCCTTTGAGAGGCTGTGAGATGTGGAGTAAGACATGAACTGCAGCTGGAGGGATTTGTCGTTGTTAAGCGCTGTTAAATCAGTTCCAGCCTTGTATAGGGTTTCTGAGAAGCAGCTGGTGGGTTTGAACTGCTGACCTTGTGGTTAGCAATTCAGTGCTTATCCTATGCCATGAGGGATGTTGTTGTGTTGTTAAGTGCTGTTGAGTCGGTTCTGATGCATACCGACCCTGTGTAGGGTTTCTGATGAACAGCTGGTGGACTTCAACCGCTGACCTTGAAGTTCAAACCAAACTTGCAGTCCAGTGCATTGTCTTGCAGCACCACACCAAGACTCCCCCATGATGTAGACACTTATCACTTATTTGACTTATCTGAATTAAGAAACAAAAGTATACAAATCAGATGATTTCCACATAAAAACTTGAATTTCCAGCTTTTGATTTGAAAACAGAAACTTCTTCTTGGGACATTTGTAGTGATTGTCTCCTTAAGGCAGCTCTTGAGTTTTCTAATTTGCCTGTTTTCATCCTGCCCCTTTGTGCCGGCCCTTTCTCCCTCCCTGTCCAACACTAATGCCAAGTATGAGTTGCTAGGTTGCAGAGCTTCAAACTGGTTCATTCCAATCTGATCCCCTGCTGAGAATTTGCATTTCCACCTCAGATGTACTGAATCAAAATCTACATTTTAACAAGATCCCGAAGTGATTCTCTGTTAAAATGTAGATTCTGAGTCAGTATGTCTGGTGTGGAAACACAAATTCCCAGCAAGTGGTTAAAGACCTATTGCAAACTAAGTATCATGTTGCTGGAATGCCCAGATTCTTTTACCTGGCATATTTTACTCCTTTTCTGTATCTCCCTGGTCCCTTTAGATATTTGAAGTTTTTCAGCCATAGGCTGCAGCATCAGAAAGATTTGTCTTTAAATTCCAGATCAGTCATTTATTAGTGGTGTGGCATTAAATAACTCATTTAGCTTCTCTAGGCCTCAGTTTCCTCATCTGTAAATGAAGTATTATTACAAATCTCAGCTTACAAAGTCAGGTTTGTGAGACATATGAATAACTTAATTTCCTTTAAATCAGCTTTATTTGTCATGGGTCCCAAGGATGCTGGGCTGGATTAAAAATTCTGTTTCCCCTTGCAGAATCCTGAAGATGTAGGGAAAGTCCAGAAAGCAGGGTGAGGGCTCACAACCTTCTTGTCCTGGGATCTCTTCTGTAGTCTAGGGCTTTCTGTTTCCTTGACATGTTTTGGCTGCAGGCATTTCTCAAAGCTGGAAACCTCAGGTCCAGGGTCTCAACAACCATCCCTAAAAAGCATTTGCCTCCTCCCTGCTGTAGAGTGATACTCAGGGTTCTTGCAGTTCAACACCACTATCAATCTGGTTGCTTCTCAGGTATCTTCTTTCTATTTCCTGGCCTTTGTAGACCATGCCTCTGCCCTTGCCCACTAAGACACCTGGCATCATCTCAGTAGGTTCTGGGTTAATGCCCTTAAGAAGCTTCTGCTACCTACTTAGAACAAGGGTATCAGTGAAGATGGGGCCAGGGAGATACAAGAAGTACTATTGTTGGTTGCTATGGAGTGTGGCTCATAGTGATCTCATATATGCAGACCTTTATGAAGCAGAAGACAGGTCTTGTGTTACACAGGGGCTTCATGAAAGAAAGAATACAAACAATATTTTAATCGATTATCCCATCTCACAAGTAATTACTTTGGAAGATGTTTTGCTCTCTATCTAATCCCAGAATGATTTCCTTGGTCCTTTTCTTAGTTTACAGTCTTCCTGAGTCATCTCACCCAGGCCCAGGGCTAGACCCCTGTGATGACTCTCCAGTCCTTTCCTCGACCATCAGTGCACATTAGAGCGCCTACCTGACTGCTCCCTGGATATTCTCATTCATGTCCTAAAGTGAACACAACTTAAAGTGACCTCCCAAACTAGAAGCCAGGAGTCCTCTGATCCTCCCTCTTCTTCACTGTCCTCTTTAATCCTTCAATTAGATAGAGCCAGGCCTGGTCTACCTCCTAAAGAGCTTTTGACTCATCCACCCCCACTCTTTTGTTCCATTGTCAAAACATCATTTTAGGACCTGACTCTCCTAACCTGGATGACTGCCTCCTCACTGATTACCCTGTCTCCAAACTCTCTTCACCCCCATCACCAGAATAACCTTCTAAAGGGGAATTTGCCCAGCTTATCTCTGTAATCAACATTCTTGAGTAGCTATGGTCCCATTTAAGCATACAACATTAAATCCTTAGCTAGCCAACAGGTTCTTCAGCCAACCTAACCTAACTCCTGGAGAGCCTTCATGCAAATTACAGAAAGGTTCTCTCTTTAGGTAGACTAAAGGAGGCTTAGCAACATAGTGGATTACTTGTTGGGCTACTAACCTCAAGGTTAGCAGTCCAAATCCACCAGTCACTCCTCAGGAGAAAGATTGCAGTTTACATCTGTAAAAATTGTGTTGCTTTTATTGTTAAGTGCTATGGAGCTCTGGTAGCGTAGTGATTACGAATCTGGCTGCGAAACTCAAGGTCAGTAGTTCGAAATTACCAACTGTTCCATGAGAGAAAGATGAGGCTTTCTGCTCCCGTAAAGATTTACAGCCTTGGAAACCCTGTACAGGGTTGTTATGAGTCGGAACCGACTCCACGACATAACCACCACCACCACCACTGACTCATAGCAACTCTATATAGGGTTTCTAAAAAGCACTGGTGGGTTTGATCCGCTGACCTTGCAGTTAACACTTCACTACTTATTCAGCAACCTTGGAAACCCTATGGAACAGTTCTACTCTGTCCTATAAAGAGCTCTGGTAGCATAGTAGTTATGAGTCAGGCTGCTAACCTCAAGGTCAGCAGTTCGAAACTACCAGCCGTTCCGCAGGAGAAAGATGAGGCTTTCTGCTCCCATTTACAGCTTTGGAAACCCTGTACAGGGTCGCTATGGGTCAGAACACCACCACCACTCTGTCCTAAAGGTCACTGTGAGTTGGAATTGACTACAGAGCAGTAGTGGGTTTCTAGATAGACAAAAGTCCCTGGGTGGCACAAACGGGTTGTGCTGTCTACTAATCTAAACGTTATCTGTTCAAATCTACTCAGTGGCAGCTCAGAAGAAAGACCTGATCTTTCTTAGAAAACCCTACAGAGTTGTTCTACTCGGTAACACATGTGGTCACTTGCTGGCAAATGGTTGCTTTGTTGTTTGCTTTATTCTATGCACACACAACTCTGGAGTCTTGGTGTGGTGCTGGACTGCTAACCACAAGGTCAGCGATTCAAATTCACCAGTCGCTCCTAGGGAACCCTACACAGGGTGGCTATGAGTTGGAACCAACTCTATGGCACTTAACAACAACAACACAACATAGCCTGGTGCGTGGAGCATGGGTGAGCTTTCCACCCAATCAGCCCTACTCTTTAGTCTGGTGCACAATGTGGACAACCACACAGAGCTTCCCTACTTCCTAATGGGCCCCTGCCTACCTCTTTAGCTGCATCCATCTCAGCTCCTCCATCCCTTTCTCTTTTCATTCACACCCTAAGTTCCCCACTACCCCTAAAACCTGCCTGTTTTTAAAAAATTATTTTCCATCCTGTTGTTCAGTCGGTCACCAAGGAGATCTTCCTTCCCTGATTCCTCTGGTACTGCCTCAGCCCAGCCTTTGCTGTCTCTCAGTCGGGGTCAGCGTCTTCTTTTCTGGTCCTGGGTCCTAGTCCTTATGTCATGTATCCAGCTGTTTCTTGATTACTTGTCTAGATTGGTGAATCCTCCAGAGAAGGGATTTTAATTGTCATCCACAGTGCTTGGCACTACTAGGTACTCAGGAAGTGTTTATTAAACATATGAAAATAGAACAGTATGAATGCATCACTGACTCGCTGTAAGCAGTAGGAAGCGGCTCACTAGGAGTGGGCTCTTACTATCATTCCACCAGCTCGCGTTCAGTCCCCTAAAAGGGGAACAGGCTGGGGCCGGAGGAGGAGGCAACCCCAGTTCTTCCCGCCTGCCCGTAGCGAGGCAGCCCGCTGAGGTGCTCGGCGAGGAAAAGGGTCGTAGAGGGCAGAGGCGCTGCATTGGAGGGGCGCGGGGCCTTCACACTCGGCTTCTTTCATTCTTTAATCCTAGTGTGTCCTGGAATGAAAACTGCAGCACCAGCCAGGCGGGAGCGCGCGCAGATGAAAGGGGCACTCGTTCAGTGAGCAGAGCCTCCTCCCGCCCGGGCTGCAGAAACCGGCAGCGCAGGGGGTGTCCAGCCACTGCAGCGATCGAAAACGGGAAAAGGAGACCAGCCTCCCCACTCCAACGGGTGCCTTTACTGGGCACCCACCGTGCTGATACCTTACTATCCCAATATATGCTTCCGTCGGGACTCTTGGGTTGGAATCTCGAATTCCTTCTTCTATCTCTCCCCTCTGTCTTCTGATTCTTGGTATGCCCCAGGGGACAGATGTCTTGGGATCTTTAACATTTGGGATGCTGCAAATGCCGAAGTTAAATGAAATACCTCCGGGGAGGGGAAACCGGGGGGAGATTCGAGGAGAGGGAAGATGGCCTGGACGAACAGGCCCTGAAATTGCCAGGCAGGAGCAAGGGGCGCGGGGACTTTTGGGCGGCACCGGAGCTCCATGGGACAGGTAAGGGGAAAACTTAAAGGGACTAAGCGCGGGTAAACTGGGGGTAGGAACAAGTCCCTGAACTCACTATCTTCGACCTTAGTGGAGTGTATTCTTTAGCGAATGGGGTGATTTTACGGTGGTGGGAATTTTGAGTGCCTATCAAAAATGCATGTTTCCAACTCTTTAACCTTCTTCCTTCAACCCTCTGGATCCCCTAGCCAGGTTCCTGGAAGTCAGAACGCAGCTAAACAAAAGGAGCAAAGTCTCAGGCCTGTCTGGACGTGGAGGGCGCGTGGGGGAGGGGAGCAGAGTGGACAGGACAAAGGGCTTTTTAAAGAAAGCCTAGAGGTCTGATTTCAGGGCTCATTCCAGGCTAGCATGGGGTTTCCCTGACCCAGCCCACTCCACCATCGCTTGAATGAGAAAAACACCTTCCCTGTAAGGCAGGGTGTAGAGTCTAGAAAGAGAACTGTTAAGGAACTACCCTCCTACCTCCCTCACCCTCTCCCCCACCGGCGCCTGTAGGGTCCCGGGACAGTTCCCTTCTTCCCCGCCTCCCCCTCCACCACTGTTGGCTACAGCAGCGTAGCCTTTGATTGGTTTCTTCGCTAAGTAAAATGTTAGAAGTGCAACAGACTGTTCTTTGCCGAGGACTATCGAATACGTGGAGATGGTGGTACCCTTGCTTTGAAAAACTTCCAAAGTAATCAAAAGAAGAGTTAAAGAACACCTTCCCCCCCACCCCCCAAAATTTTAGACTACAGGACTATGGAATGGTTTTCTGACCCATGACTCTTCCACTGAAAATGAAAACCCTGAAGAATTGCAGTTTTTCCTCTTCCTGGAGGAGTGAGGGGGAAGGGCTCTGGATCAGATTGGAAGTACTGTAAGGTTTAACAGGAAACCCCACTTACTCACCAACTGGTAGTGTAGGTGATGGTGCTTTGGTGTTTGGGGTTGGGGAATGAGTCCCTTAGATTGGCTGGGAGTATGGCTTAGAGCCCTAAGTCCCTAGCTGAGGAGTGCTCACCTCTTCCCTAGAATTGTGAGTTGGAGGACTTGACTATCAGAGAGACCTCTCTCAAGTTCTTGGTGGGAGCGTTGGTTTTCTGGCCCCATTGCAAGCCTGGGATTCAGATTCTGCTGGGTTGAAAAATGCTGTGGATTTGGGAGAACAAAGTGTCATTGAGAACCCCAGATGAATGCAAACAGTGTGGTTGGACACCCTTTTGACTACTGTTATCTGATATTTCAATAGTAAAAATCCACTATCCCAAGTAGTTTCTGCATTAGCAACATACATCAGGCAGTTTGCATGAAAGTAATGCGAGAAGTGAGAAGTGGGTGTTCTCTCTCTGCAGAACTTAGAGATGGGGATTACCTGTAAGTAGGAGTTCTTAACTAGATCCATGATCACCAAAGCACCTGTGGAGTCCAGAATTCAGAGTTTGTAAATTTATGGGAAAAAATACATCTTTACTTTTCATTTTAAAAGAATTTAGCATTGTTTTCAGTCATGAAGGCAACAAAGCCCACTAGTCCTAATAGTACCTGTGGCTTTACCACGAATAGAATTCACAGATACTTTCATATCCTATTGCAGTTGTTGCAGCTATATAGAAATATTGTTTGCACAGATCACTTCTATGACATTAACAGTTATTACTGGACCCACTCCTGTTAGGTACTGTTGAGTTGGTTCTGGCTTATAGCAACCCTATGTTAAAGTAAACACAACACTGCCCATCCTGTGTCATCCTAATGATTGTTGCCATGTTTGAGCCCATTGTTGCAGCCACTGTGTCAATCTCATTGAAGATTTTCTTCTTCTTTTTTACTGATCCTGTACTTTACCAAGCATGATGTCTTTTTCCAGTGACTGCTTCCTCCTAATAACATGTCTAAAGTTTCATCAACCTCTTTTCTAAAGACCATTCTGACTGTATTTCTTCCAAGACAGATTGGCTCGTTCAACTGGCAGTCCATGGTTCTTCACCAACACCATGTTTCAAATGCACCAATTCTTCAGTCTTCTTTATTCATTGTCCAACTTTGCCATGCATATGAAACAATTGACATTTTCATAGCTTGGATCAGGTACATCTTAGTTTTCAAAGTGATACCATAGCTTTTTAAACTGTAATGAGGTCGTTTGCAGGAGATTTGCACAATGCAATTATCATTTGATTTCTTAACTGCTCCTTCCACTGATTGTGGTTCCAAGTATGAAATGCTTGATAACTTCAATCTTTTCTCTGTTTATCCAGATGTTGCTTATTGGTCCATGTGTGAAGATTTTTGTTTTCTTTATGATGAAGTGCAATTAGTATTGAAGGTTGTAGACTTTAATCTTCATCAGTAAGAGCTTCAAGTCCTCTTCACTTTCAGTAATCATCTGCATGTTACAGGTTGTTAATGAGTCTTCCTTCAATCCAGACTTTGCATTCTATATCTCATTAGTCCAGTTTCTTACTCAGCATTCAGAGTGAATAAGTATGGTGAAAGGATACAACTCTGACACAAATCTTTCCTAATTGTAAATAGAAAAGTATCCCCTTTTTCTGTTTGAATGACTGTCTCTGAGTCTATATACAGGTTTCATATGACCACAATTAGATGTTTAAGAATTCCTGTTCTTTGCAATGTTATCCTTAATTTGTTATGATCTACATAGTCAAGTGCCTTTGCAGAGTCAATAAAACACAGATAAACATCTTTCTGAAATTCTCTGCTTCCAGCCAGGATCTATCTAATATCAACGGATATTTCTTGTTCCATGTCCTCTTCTGAATCCAGAGAACTCCTAGCAGTTCCCTATCTATGAACTGCTGCCACCAGTTCTTGATCATGTGCTACTTCCTGAAGTGGTTGAATGTTGACTTTATCTATTTCTCTTCAGTTCTTTTAGATCTAAATTAGAAAACCAAAAGGAAGAACACGCTCACTCAGCATTCCTCAAACTGAAAGAACTGAAGAAACAATTCAAGCCTAGAGATGCTCCATTGAAGGTTTCTATAGGGAAAACATTGAATGACACAGAAAGCATCAAAGAAGATGGAAGGAATAGACAAAGTCAACATTCAACCATTTCAGGAAGTAGCACAGGATCAAGGACTGATGGTATTGAAGGAAGAAGTCCAAGCTATAGTGTAAGACATTGATGAAAAACAAGGCTACAACAATGAATGGAATACCAATTGAGATGTTTCAACAAATGGATGCAGCACTGGAGGTGCCTACGTTTCTGTGCCAACTGCTGAGTGAGCGTGTTCTTCCTTTTGGTTTTTCAATTCCAGGTCTTTGAACATTTCATTGTAATATTTTACTTTGTCTCGTCAAGCCACCCTTTGAAATTTTCTGTTTATATCTTTTACTTCATCATTTCTTTCATGTGCATTAGTGACTCTGTTCAAGAACAAGTTTTGAATGTCTTTTCTGACATTGATTTTGACTTTTTCTTACTTTACTGTTTATTTAATGGCCTTCTGCTTTCTTCATGTATCATCCCACAACTCCTCTGGAATTGTGTTAATGTTAATGCTTAGTGCATTAATGTTAATGTTCAGTGCATCAAATCAGTTCTTGAGATGGTCTCTGACTTCAGGTGGTATAAACTCTAGGTCTTATTTTGGCTCTCTTGGACTTGTTTTAATGTTCTTCAGTTTCAACTTGAACTCACATATGAGGAATTGATGGTTTATTCTACAGTTGGCCTCTGGCCTTGTTCTGATTTTTGATATTAACCTTCTCTATCATCTTTTCCCACAAATGTGTCCGTTTGGTTCTTGTGTATTCTGTATTCCATTTTACAAGGTTCATTGCATGTTGTTGTTGTTAGGTGCCATTGAGTCGGTACTGAGGTTCACTGATAGAGCCTGTTTAATGTTCATAAAGAGACATATATCAAAATGTGTGCTAATTTTAGAAGTGTATTTCAATGTAATTGCCTTTTTATGGTTCTCAGTTTTATTTGATACATTTGAAAATAGACAATGCACTAGTTCTAGAAACTTCCAGCCTCTCCCTACACCCCAGTTTGGAAATGGGTTAGGCAAGGAAGGGCCATTTGTGCTCAGAGTCAATTCCCCTTTTTTGGGGGCGGGCAGCGGGAGGCTTTGGAAGAATGTGCTGCCTCTCTTTGAGAAACCCTGAGCACTGTTCTCTGCCACAGAAGAGGCCTCTGGCTGGCCAGCCTGGAGGACTCCAGCTTGCATTGTTTATAAAGAGGGTGTGTACAGGAATGTGGAGGTGTGCTGTGGGGCGAGGTCGGGGAAAGAAGGCGGTGCTCCTGGTGAAAGGCTGACAGGAGCTTGGAGAGAGCAGACTTCCATCATCTCTGCACTGGAGGGTGGGTAGAAGGGGGCTCCTTAGAGACCAGGGCATGGCAAATAATCCAGAGCTCTATTGAAGTGTAGGGATCCCAAGGAGACTCAGCCTTCTCAGATGGGATCTCTGCAGGTGGAGTTCATGGTAGGGAGGAATAGAAAGTAGTGAGAAGAGGAACAGGGTGTCTCCAATTCCAGCCTTGGGGGACAGGTGACATGTGACAGGCAGTCTCAGCCCTGCTTCCTCTGCTGTAAAATAGCCTGAATTCCAGTTTTCCACTTTTTTGTAGAAGCAAATTCCTGGTATGGTGCTGTAGTATAAGCACTGGACTGCTAACTGCAACGTCAGTAGTTCAAACCCACCAGTTGCTCCGTGAAAACCCTCTATAGGGTTTCTATGAGTTAGAACTGACTCTACAGCATTTAACAAGAACAAGAAGTTCCATTTAATTCTGTGGACTTTGGCCCTCTTGTAGAGGAGGGGGCTGGGCTAGGTTTCTGGTTAGTGCCCGATGGACCATGCAAACAATAAATAAGGGAGTGATGGTTTTGATGTTCTTAGGGGGAAATGTCTGGGATAAAAAGAGAACAGAACAGAACAGCCTGGCTCTCTCTGGATCACAGGGCCGCTCCATTTGGAGTTCCAAAGTTGCTGCCTTACCTGAGGCTTTAAAATCCTGATTTGGGAGTTACAAAGGCAGGCCTCAGTTTCTATTTCTGTGTATGGGAAAGCAGTGACCCATGCCTGGTGGTGTTCTCCATGGCTAAGAACTTTCACCCTGCTTCTGGGGACCTTACCAAAAAATCACAACCAAACCCACTGCCCTCAACTCGATTCTGATTCACAGTGACCCTGTGGGACAGAGCAGAACTACCCCATGGGGTTTCCAAGACTGTAATCTTTGTGGAAGCAGAGACTGCCTCATCTTTCTCCCATAGAGTGGCTGGCGAGTTTGAACTGCCAACTTCACGATGAACCTACTGTGACACCAGGGCTGGGAGCCTTGAATACCTCCACTTCTGGAAAGGGAAACTGAGGTACAAGCAGCACAGTGAAGCAGAGAAGGGGACTTCTGGGCAGCTCACAGCTCAGTACATTGTATGACCCTTACTGTTTTCTGGGGTTTCTCTATGAGAACCCCCCTTCTCTTGTCTCCACCTCCGGAAGTGCAGGGGCCCAGAAGCTGCCTGCCACAGCCGCTGTGGAATTAGTTCAGGGAAGGAGTTGCTCACCTGCTCCTCCCCTCTGACTCAAGTCATAACAAGTAACCTGGTTCCCCTGGCCCGGCAGCCTGGGAGGGACAGGGGCGGGCTGGCGGCTGGCTGAGGGACAAGACCGACAGCTTTCAGCGTGTGGAAAGAGAGAGCACAAGGTGGGCAGCCTGTGGCCTGGGAGACCCAGAGGGAACATGCGAGCCCCCTTGGACCCCTGACCCAAGAACAGGGTTGTTTCCAAACTTGTAGACACAAGCTCTGAAGCAGGTAAGGGTGGGGCAGGGTGGAGTGGTCTTTGGGGCTGAAGGGCAGGCTGGCCTGGGATAGGAGTAGCCTGCACAGTGGCTGCTCCCTCCACCTGCTCATGTTTGGAGCACAGGGTTGATGAGGGTGGTGGTGGCCTAGAGAGAGGGCCGGTCCCTGTGGTCCCCCAGGAGAACCATCAAGCAGGGATGAGTTAGAACAGAGAGGCTCAGAACTTGGCTTTGGAGACACATCTTTGTGTGAGAATTCCCTAAAAGAAGGTCCTGGTTTATCCCTCCCTTTTCTGGGGGGCACTGCTCATTCAGTTGGGCCCAGTCCTAGGGAGGCAATGAGAGGAGTGGGAAATCCAGAACCTGGGAGAGCAGAGACAATTCCTGTGGGGAGTAGGGGGTGAGGATGTTACCTAAAAGTAATGTGTTAGACACTTGAGACTCCGGAGACTTCATGGATAGAGGGGGTGGCAGGGGCAAAGCCAGACCCTGGGACTCTGGGGCAGGTCCCCTACAACTGTGGAGGGGCAACTTTAGCAGGGCCAGATAGTGGCTATATGGGTGTCTTGCTCTGCTTGACATTGTCTAAGAGGCTGAGATTCAGGCTGGGAAGTGGAAAGTGCCTCGGCCACACATGAGGAAAGGTGGCCCAGAGAGGGTAAGTAACTTCCCCAAGACAGTACAGCTGAGTAGAACTCAAGTTCTAGTTTCCAGGTTTCAGAGCCTGTGCTGTTCCCCTGCTTTGAGTAGCATGGATCTAGCATCAGATTGGCACTCCTGTGAATGCAGGTGCCTTCCCCCAGCCCTGTAAAGTGAGAGTCTGGCTGTCCTGGTCAAGGGACGATGTGTGGAAGAGAGAATCCGAGGGCTACAGGGGCTGTGTGCTCAAACCCACTTCCTCTGTCCCTACAATGTCCCACTCCTCTTTGTAACAGTCAAGGAGCCCCTGAGAGGCAGGGTTTGAGTTGTCATAACTTTCCAAGCAACCCCTTGGATGTTAATAATTAATTATTGAGTGTGACTAATTAATGGTCTTCCTCTCTTGCATCACCTCCTCTCCTTGTTCATCTTGCCAGCTGAGACTGCTTGGCTTCCTAGCCCTGACTGGGGCTCAGTGGGTAGGAGGAGTGGTGGGCCGGCAGCTCCTCTGTCACCTTCTTATCTCTGGGGGGTAGTTTGGGGCAGGGTTGAGGACTTAGGAAGGATGGTCCGTGCAGAGGTAGCTCTCACCTTATGTGCAATGGGCTCCCCAGAACATATGGACAATATCTTTTTTAGTATATTTGCAAAGACTGCACATAAATCTTTTTTTAAAAAAATACTATCATTCATTCTCTAGAATTCTTTGCAGAATTGAAACCCCAAAGTGCACATTGCTTTCAGGACTTTGTTTTAAATTGTTGCTTTGATAGACTGTGCTGTTTGTGTTTTGTTGTTGTTAAGTGCTGTTGAGTTGGTTCTGACTCTTAGCAATCCTATAGAGGGTTTCTGAGGAGCAGGAAGTAGATTTGAAACACCAATGCAGTGGATGGCATTTTAGAGCATATCCTCCATGCTGTTTATGTAGGTCTTTAAAAACTCTTGATTGTTCCTACTCTCGATAGACAGGGACTATTGAGGACCTGGCTGAGTGCAGTCCCCTCTCCTTCTCTGTCCGGCTTTTCAATCAGCTTTTCTAAGGCCTGCTTTGCTTCCCTGTTAGCTGATAACAGAGATGAGGAGCGCCCACCCCCCAACCTCCCACCTCATGGTGCCCTGTGCCCCGAGGAGGCAGGATAAGCTCCAGACAGAAACTCGGATGGACTTTTGGACTCTTGCTCAATGGGGCTGACTCAGTGAGGAGGTGGCTGGGCTCTCCCTCCACATCGCCTGCCTGGGCCCCACCTGCCCCTCCCCATCCCTGCTTCCGCCAGCAGCTGCCAGGCCCTAGCCAGCTGGGACCCTGACCAGGGGTGTGGGTTCGGTGAGGAGCGAGGGGGCGGGCCACAGGTGTTGTTTTGGTGTCTGGTTGGGTTGACGCACAACTGGGATGGTTGCACTCCTATCACACAAGCTCAAGAGCCCCAGGGAGCAGAGGAGTCTGTGGCCTTGCCCTGCCCTTGGGCTGCTTCTGCTCTCCCCACTCCTGGCAGCCCTGACAGACACACTCCCAGGCTCCACCTCGCTATGGGGCATAGGGGTCATCTAGATGTAGTTGGTGGCCTGGGAGCTGTTTCAGTACTTAGGAACAGTTCTCTGCAATTGCACTGACAGCATCTGACTTGGGTGAATCACGTGGCCCAGACAGCTGGGCATCCTGGACTGTGGGGGGCCCAGACCAGGGCGTTGGATGACTTCCCAGAACCTAGCCAGTTCTCGAAGTGCCCTCACCCACTGTGCCTCATGCCAGGGGCACTAAGCCCCACTGCCTCTGTCCTCATGCGGCACCTTCCTCTCCCTTCTTTCCCATTTTCCTTGCTTGGTCCTCTCTTCCTACTTTTCTAGCTCCTTTTACCTCTGTCTTTGCTCTTCCTTGTCTGTCTCCCCAGACTTGGAGGCTCTTTGACCATCACCGTCAACCCGTTGGGCCTAGAGAACTCAAAGCCTCAGTCCTGGAAGCAGTGGGGAGTTGGGTAGGCTGGGTCCCAAGAGCAAGGTTTGGTGGTGAGGAGGCGTATCTTGCATCTCCCCCAGCATCAATAGATCGCCCAAACCCTCATACTCCCAGGAACGCCATGTCACTTCCATTCCCCTGCCTTCAAGCATCTAATTCCCAAGTTCTGAAGAAGTGTCTAGTTTTTGGTTCTTGTTCTCTAAAAGCTGGGGAAACTCCACACCACCTACACATCCTGGTCCAGCCTGGGAGCAGCATCGCCCTTCCCTACTCTGTGCCCCCTCCTCCCAGAAATCTACCATGGAGAGTAAGGATGAGGTCAGCGACACAGACAGCGGCATCATCTTGCAGTCTGGTGAGTGGCCGACTTCCTGGCTGACTCCCTTGGATGTGAGGGAGGGGAGAGGCAGGCTTTTGCTGGAGGCAATGGGAAATGCAAAGAAGGGTCAGAGCTCTTCTTCCCTAAGGACATGTGACCTCTTCTTCTCTAAGGGCTCTGGCCTGGAATCTGGAGCAGGGATCTGCAGTGTTCTACCTTAGGCCCAGGGATGAGCAGACCCATTGCTTTCCAGTAGATTCTGACTCATAGCACTGGCAAATCTCATCTGGCCAGTGTAGAGGCCCTGCCTCTGGTTGGACTGAGCTGCTGGGCCTGTTCCGGCCTACTCTAGACAGAGAACAAGAGAGAAGAGGTGTGTGTGTGTGTGTGTGTGTGTGTGTGTGTGCGCTGAGAGAGACAGAGAATGAGAGACTGACAGAAAGAAGTTGAGAGCCAGAGAAAGAGAGAAGCCTGAGGAGCTAATTGTAGTAGGTGAGGGCAGTGGGGAGGATTCTACTCACTGCAGGTTGTCTGGTAGGCCTCCCATCACTCTGTGCTGTATTTTTGCCTCCTTAAAGCATCCAGGAGACTTGGTATTTTATGTTTATGACACAGGCCACAAACCTTCACCCTCTGGGCATGTGTGCATGTGTGAACTCCCCTAGGGGTGCTCTAGAAATACTGAGAGAGACTTGTCTGCCTCAACTCCCCTGAGAATATGATGCCCACTGTGCTCTCCCCAGGCCCTGACAGCCCCATCTCCCAGACCAAGGAGCTGGCCCACAAGGAGCTGACTCAAGCGGTTCGCAAACAGCAGAGGGCCCTGGAGGAGCGGCTAGAGGCCTGCCTGGAGGAGCTGAGGAGACTCTGCCTAAGGGAGGCGGTGAGAGCCTCAGCCACCCCCACCACAAACTTGAGGCCACTTCTTGGTGCTAAACAGGAGCCACTTTGGGGGGTATTAGGGCTGAGAAAAGGAGCTCTAGCAGCGTAGTGGTTACATGTTGGGCTGCTAACCTCAAGGTCAGCAGTTTGAAACTATCAGCTGTTCTGTAGGAGAAAGACGAGGCTTTCTGCTCCCATAAAAATTTACAGACTCAGAAACCCTGTACAGGGTCACTATGAGTGGGTCAGAATTCCCTGTTCCTAAGGGAATTCTGGGAATCAGATTGGGGTATGGTGCACAGACGCTGTCTTGGTTGAGGCCTTGGAGAGAACTCATGAGAGGAGGAAACTTACACAGGTTGCAGGCCAGGGCACAGGGAGAGGCCGCAGATTATAATCAGGGCAGTAGAGCTTTCTGTTGAAGGAGCCCTGGTGGCAAAATGATTTGGTTTGATCAAACCCAATGGCATTGCAGAGGAAGACCTAGCAATCTGTTCCTGTAAAGATGACAGGCCAGGAAACCCTATTGGTCAGTTCTCCTCTGTCACATGGGGTTGATATGGGCGGGAATTAACTCAGTGGACCCAACAGCAATAATAAGTCTTGGTGGGGGCTGAGCAGGAGGAGGTTGAAGGGAAGGAGGAAGCAGCTTATCAATGAGAGTGCTGAGGGTACCCTGAGGATGGGAATGAGACAGCCATGAGTGATGGGAAGGGGTGCAGGTGGCTTGCTTATATACAAGGGGCTCTCAGAAGATGGTGGTGGTTTTGTGCTGTGGAGTTGGTTCTGACTCATAGCAATCCTATACAGGGTTTCTGAGGCTGTAAATCTTTATGGGAGCAGAAAGCCTCAACTTTCTCCCGGGGAACAGCTGGTAGTTTGAAACTGCTAACCTTGCGGTTCACAGCCTGATTCATAACCACTACCCTACCAGAGCTCCTTAGCTCAGAAGATAGGGCTCTTTATAATGCTGGGGCAAGTGAGACAGGCTCCTCTCTGTTGAGTGAGGGCTGGCCCAATGGGAAGGGGCCTGCATGACTTTGTTTCTGCCTCAGGAGCTGACAGGCACCTTACCAGCAGAATATCCCCTCAAACCGGGGGAAAAAGCACCGAAGGTCCGGCGCAGGATTGGAGCGGCTTATAAACTGGATGAGCAGGCCTTGCATAGGAAGGTAAGAATTTCTGGAAGCCACTAACATGCCTCACTTCCCAAAGGTTTATCACTGAACCTGCGGCACCCTGTCTGGAGGGCATAGTTCAAGGCATAGTACCTTAGCCCAGAACCCGGGCAGTCCCATCACACCTTATAAAGATGCTTAGCCCCATGTCCCATAGAGAGAGACAGCCAAGGGGCACCCACTAATGTGTGACCCAAATGGCCACAAGGAAGTTGGGCCACTCCAGGAACTGTGAGAACTGGACTCTAGAGGGAGGAACCCAGATTTGGTCTCCTGGTGGGCAGAAGATCAGTTAAGAACTCCAGGCACAAATCCAGGGCTGCTCTCTCCTCTTTCTCAGTGTAGAAGCCACGGGGTGGGGGTGAATTGGGCCAAGTGAATGTTGACAACAGTTTCCCATGGGCGGCCAGTGAGCTCACCTGCCCAGGCCTTTGGGGTCAGGAGAGAAAGTGCCCCACTTTGGTTCCTGCCCTGCCAGGCTGGTGGGCGGGTTCCCATGCTGCTTTTCGGGCTAATGAAGGTGGCTCCTCCCATCACTCCACCCGTTTACTCATGTCCACACACACAGTCAGGGCTGTTCTCCGTGTCCCTTTCCCTGAGTCCCCCTACTCTCCCTGTGCCCCCCTCAGGACCCCCTGAGTGGCCTGGAGCAGGAGCTGGCCCTGCAGCTACAGATCGCAGAGGCAGCCCGGCGGCTCTGCCGGGAGGAGAACATCAGCAGGCAGACCCGGCGGCAGAGGAAGCACGCCATGCTGCAGGAGGAGAAGAAGCTACGGGAGCTGGAGCGTTGTGTTGGGGAGCATCGGCGGCGGCGCAACAGCGAGCCTCCACCCGCCACACTCCCACTGGGCCGAGGTGAGCTAGCCAGCTTCCAGATTCTCCATCCTATGAACTTCTGTGGGAGGATGGGCAGCTTGGCTCTAGGTCACACTATTAGCACTGCCCACCGTGCCCAACGTTGTGTTTAATCTTCCCAGTCGGCTTCAGCTGCGTTAGCCCAACCCCTGGACCTACCTCTAACCACTTGTCATAGAGTGGGCTCTGAGTCAATGGCAACCCCATGTGTGCCAGAGTAGAACTGTGTTCTATAGGCTGAAAAATGGCTTTTTCAGAAGTAGATTATCAGGCCTTTCTTTTGAGGTTCCTCTGAGTAGACTTGAGCCTCTAACTCTTTTGGTTAGCAGCTGAGTACTTTAACTGTTTGTAACACTCAGGGATTCTTGGATTGACTTCTGTCCCCTCCTTATCCTCTACAACCCCAATAAGCCTTAGAACACAGGCCGCCTTCATCCTCCCTTAGAAAACATTCCACTTCTTCCTTCCATATCCTCTTCAAACACACTGTCTGCCAGGGGATTTCTAGACAGACATCATTCTCCAAGTAGCCTTGAACTTAACCCACAGTATCCCAGGCCCACCTTCCCGGGTCTGGGTGGTGTGAGGCTGATATGAGTCTGAGGTTCTGAGTCAATGGACATGCCCTGGCCTAAGAGAGGCAGCATAGGGGAACAACCGTCGCTCTGTACAACTAAGCACTTGAATTGTTTCAGGGGGGCCACAGCCATTCATGGGGGCCTTTAGCTTGAAATCTACACTAGGACCATACTCCCTAAGAATCTAGCACCACCCTGGTCACCAGTGGAATCCTTCCTTGCTGTTCTCCCTGCTCTCCTTGTGCCTGTAGTCTGGTCCCTGAGCCCCTTGGCTTGAAGACCAAGACTGTGAGGCACCAAGCGAGTTGTCAATGCTCACGTGACATCAGTGCATCCAGCTGGGTTACCTTCCAACACGCAGTTCCTTGCCCTTAGGTTCAACTGCTTTTTTTTCTGTCAACCTAAACACAGCTTGCCTGGTCAGGACTAGCAACCCAATGGCATCACACCCTTCCCCAAACTCTCACACAGGGTCCCAGACTTCCATGGCTGGACCTGCTAGCCTTCGATGCTTTGATTGTATATGAGGGAACGGGAGTCGGGAACAGGCTGTGACCTTGGGCAGACTGGGTTTAAAGGACTCAGCCTAGACTTGGAGTATTGTCTGCTTCTCCCACATACGCAGGCTCTCACTCCTGTACGTCTGGCTAGCTTTTTGCTAAGCCTGCTCTCCTTCCTGGGAATGCTTGAGGAGGATGCCCATGGGCCCTCTCTGGCAGGTGGTTCTCATTGCAGGTTCCTCAGTGGTTCCTGCTTGCACTAATTTGGGGTAGGGAGCAGCCAAGAGTAGAGGACCAAGGCTGGAGGGTGGCGGAGGAGGTGCCTCCCTCTGATAGTTGACCCAGCAAACAAAGAACATGGTGCAACTGACTTGTGCACAGGTGGCTAGACTTCTCTCTGGTTCCTATGGCTCTTGTCTGGCCTGGTCTGTGACTCTTGCCTGGCACCAGTGGAAAAGAACAGCTCTATCCTTATTCCATCCCAGTAGGGCCCCTGGGACTTGAGTTTCCCTTGAAAGATAGTTACTAACTTGGGCAAGGCAGTCCCTAAGGGGTAACTTTTCACATGCTGCTAGGGAGCAGCCAGGGCATTGGTCATCACCCTGGGACATGTGCCCCCCCCCCCCATCCCAGTTTGTCTCACTCAGCCCAGTAACGCTGGTGGTTCTGGAAGCATCTGTCTGTGTCGGGTGACAGAGGTGGGGCTTGTCATGCTCTTGCCACCATTGTGACTGATAACATCTCTTGTTATCAGAGTGGGGAGCAGGCCAGGACACGCCTGGGGCTGAGATATGGCTGCTTTGGCTGAACTCTGTGTGGGAGGTAGGAGGCTGCGGTTCTGAAACTTGTCCCAGGGTAACTCAGCCCAGATAAGGAAAAGAAAGACCTAGCATTGATGCTGCCTTTTGCCCTCCAGATCAGGAATGAAAATCCTGCACTCTCCAAATTCAAGTCCTGTTCTTGACTTAGTCCTGAAGCCCTGAGTTCTAGTTTCCTGCCTGGGGAATATAGGAGGTAGTTCAGGGCAAGTCGTTCTTGTTGGGTGGCTCCTCTGTCCAGGTGTATTCTCTCAGAGAAGAGGAAGTAGGGAGGGATTCGTAGTTAGTAGCCAAATGATTTTTTGAATTCAAAAGAGACAAAACACACATAGCAAACAAACAGGTCAAATACACACACACACATGCATATACACAAATATAACTCACAATCCCTACACAAAGGCTTTGCAATTTGGGAATGTCATTAAGCCAGTTAAGAGGTAATTAGCTAGTCCTCTGCAAGATTGGTGGTTCAAACCCCCAAGCTGCTCTTTAGGATGAGAGTGTTCCTGTAAAAATTGACAGCCTTGGAAACGATAAGGAGCATTTTTGCTCTGTTCCGTAGGGCCACGATGAGTGGAAATCAGTTAGAAAGCAGGTGCAGAGAGCAGTCAGATGTTGCACTTCTTGAATTTACAGCTGTGAATCTAATGAAAGATACCCACAGCACACCCTTTGTCATGTGATAGGTGCTCTGTAAATTGCCTGTTGATTGACAGGGCTGGCCTTTAAAAATGCTGTGTAGTAGAATTTCTGTGATGATTGAAATGCTCGGTATCAGTGCTGTCCAATATGGTGGCCACAAGCCACCTGTGAAGGAGACCTGGTAGCACTGTATGAGCAGCACTGGTCGGCAGTTCAAACCCAGCAGATAACACTCCAAGGGAGAAAGATGAGATAGTCTGGTCCCGTAAAGATTCACAGCCTCAGAAACCCTGTATAGAGTTGCTGTGAGTTAGAATGCAATCAATGGCAGTGAGTTGCTATTTTGAGCCACATGAAGGTATTGAGCACTTGAAGTGTGCCTAGTGCAACTGGACTCTAACTAAACCCACTGCCATTGAGTCAATTTTGATTCATAGTGACCTTGTTGTTGTTAGGTACCATTGAGCCGGTACCGACTTTGAGCGACCTTATGCACATCAGAATGAAACACTGCCTGATCCTGGGCCAACCTCACTACTGTTGCTACGCTTGAGTCCATTGATGCTGCCACTTGGCCAATCCTTCTTGTTGGGGGTCTTCCTTTTTCTCTGACCCTCCACCTTACCAAACATGACAGAGTAAAACTATTCCTAGGGTTTCCGAGGTTGTAAATCTTGATGGAAATCGTTTGCCACATGTTTCTCCCAAGAAATGGCTGGTGGGTTTGAACCTCTGACCTTTCTGTTAGCAACTGATCCATCAGTGTTCCTAGTATAATTGAGAAACTGATTTTTTTTTTTTCATTTTTTAAATGTAACTTTTAAAAATTAACCACAGGCAGCTAGTGGCTATGAAATTGGACAGCACAGCTTAAGAGATCTCAGCCTGGGATGCCCTGTACAGTTGTGAGGAAGAGCCGTGTTGCACTAAGAGCCATGGGAGGTTGAGCAAGGCCTAGGTGGGGCTGTGTGGTCAGCTCCTGAAAGACTGAGACACTGAGCAGTTCTCAACACCCATTGTGTTTGGCTGGCTGACAGAGGTGCTCCACCCCCACCAACCTCTGCAAATGCAGTTTCTCTAGACTCCTTTCTTTGAATTATCCCCCTTTTCACCTACAAAACTTCGACCTGCCTTTTTTTTTTTTTTTTATGAAGATTAGGAATAATGGAAATGATGTCTCTCTTCCCAGATAATATATTCAACCCACATAACTCTAATTCTGGTTGTATGATAAGAACAGTTCCATACAAATATCGACAAAGAATAAAAACCTCTATTATCTGGGTTTTATAAAAGATCGGAAGTAGGAAACTAATATCCAATAAGAGGGTGTCACTTTAATTGAATCACAAAGCAAAGGGTAGTTGTGAGCTAAGCAGAATGTGGGAGTCAGACCTAGCTCCTTTCATGGTATGCCTTACAATGTTTATGGAATGCTCTGCATAAAGTCTGTATTTCATTTAAGTTGCAGAACAGGGGTTGGCAAACTTTCCCATGAGAGATCAGATAGCAAACAGTGTAGGCTTCGTGAACCATACAGTCTCTGTTGAAATGACTCAAGTGTGTGAAAATTATAATGTGAACGCGACTAGACATTATGCAAACAAATAAGCATAGCTGTGTTCCAACAAAACTTTATTTGAAAACGCTGCTGGTGAACTGGATTTGGCCCACAGACCACAGTTTACTAAACCCTGTTGTAGAGGATTCCAAGGTAGCTAGAATTGTTTACTTTTCTTAGAATTTTCTGGGTAATGACTTACGCATTAAATGCTAACTCACAAGAGAGCTGGTAATGGATAATGAATAAGAGCCCAGACTCAGTAACCACAATATCAGGGTGTGAAATCTGATGCAACCATTTTTTGACTGACTGGCCTAGGCCACGTCACTCAACTCCTGTGAGCCTCAATTTCCTCAGCTGATACATGAAGAAGATAAAACTAAAACCAAACCAGTTGCCATCAAGTTGACTACAACTCATGGTGACTTTGTGTCTGTCAGAGTAGAACTTCGCTCCACAGGGTTTTCAATGGCTGAGATCTTTCAGAAGTGGATTGCCTGGACTTCTAAGGTGCCTCTGGAGAGACTTGAACTGTCAACCTTTCAGTTATTAGCTGAGCACTTAACTGTTTGCTCTACTCAAGGATTCCTCTCTCTCTCTCTCTCTGTATATATATATATATTCAAAGTTTTTAGAAAAATAACAGGCACCCTAGACATTGGGCTATTATTCATTTTCCTCATCTTTGTGAATTCCATCAGGTCATCTCAGGCCCCTTCTTAGGATCTGAAGGGCGATGGCAGAGATAGGTCCCCTCTGATTTCCTGGTATTGCAGGAAAGTGAGGCCCGAACGGGAGAAAGAATCACCCAAACACCAGTGATATTAGAGGAAGAGGCTTTTATTGCCAGCGCAGCAGTGGTGACTAACGTCCCAAAGAACCCAAGTTCCCCAAACAGCTTTCGTATTAGCTTTATATAAGATTACATAGGACTGAGTGGGGAGACCACCATGTCACTTTCTCATTGGTGGTTCCGAGATAAGCTTTTTTTTTCTGTCTGTTTTTGTTTTACAAAATCAGAAGAAGCTATTAGTTTCCTTTGTGTAACTTAAGCTGCAATTCCAAGAAACCAACTTTCCAGAGTAATCAAAATTTAGGACTAGGTCTCAAGGTCTTATGGGCACAGGGCTTCCTCCCTCACTGGGGAATAGCTGCTGCTGCAAGGAGCTCTGGTTACACAGTGGGCTAAGAATTGGGATGCTATCCAAGAGGTTGGCAGTTCAGACCCACCAGCCACTTCTCGGGAGAAAGATAAGGCAGGTTGCTTCTGTGAAGATTTTCAGTCTTGGAAACTCTATAGGGTAGTTGGACTCCATCCTAGCTGAGCTGGAATTGATTGTATAGCAGTAGAAGGCCTTCTGGATCCTATCTTGACAAGTTCTCACGTCCCACAGCTCCAGTTTCCATCTCACACTGCTGTTGTTGCTGCTAACACAGGACAGCTAGGATTTGAGATCCTTGAGTTGAGTTGTGTGATTTTCCATGTCAGAAGACTGTAGAACAGTTAGCAAAATTAGTCTCATCCCTGAAGACTAAAAAACAAAAACAAAAAAATTGGATTTTTGCCTTTTTGTTCTACTGCTGAGAAGTCCTGTCAGAGAAAGTCCTGGCTTCTTTTGACAAATGGGGAGACTGAGGTCCAAGGCAGAGAGATATCTTTTTAAACTGTGAACCACAAAGTTGCTGGTTCAAAGCTACCAGCTGTCCTTGGAAATCATATATATAGGGTCACCATGAGTCGGAACTGACTCGATGGCACTTAACAATACCACAACCAATAGCTAGGCTGTAGCCAAAATTAAAACCCAGTTTTCTTATCTCTTGTTGCTGTTCAGTGCCATTGAGTTGGTTCCAACTCATAGCGACCCTTGGAGTGGTTGGTGGGTTTGACCATCGACCTTACATTTAGCAGTCCTTTACTTATCCCTGCACCACCACACCAGGACTCCAATCTCCTAGTCCCTGATTGTTTACTTTTTTCCAAAGTCACATTCAATATGCTATTTAGTATGCAGTGGGAATTGCCGTTGAAGAGGCTGCTGTCCTGGGGAAGGAGAGGTCAGGAGAGGTGCTGGGTTTTGTGGGTTACCCAGGTCTGTGCAGTGAACTTCCTCACCTGCTTCTTTCTCTCTCCTTTGCTTTCCCAGAGCTCAGTGCCTCTGATGACAGCTCCTTATCAGATGGGCTGCTCCTGGAGGAGGGTGAGTAGAACTGTTTGGGAACAATTGTCAGGGCTGGACACCTACTCAGGGTCCTGGGGCCCTGCTCCTGAGAGAGAATTCAAGTGGGGTGTAGTGGTGTAGCAGTTAGAGGTATAGGTGAAGACTGGGGCCACCTGGGTTCGGTATTCAGCTTGGACCTGAAGTCGATTTCTGTGCGTTGTTACATATGCTCAGTTGAGGGTGGCGATGTGCTGATCCCTTCCGCTGGTGACACATTGGATTAAGCATTGGGCTTCTAAGTGAAAGGTTGGTGGTTCAAACCCACCAGCTGATCCAAGGAAAGATGAAGCTGTCTGCTTCTGTCACAATTTAGTTTTGGAAACTCTAGTAAGCAATTCTACTCTGTCGTACAGTGTCACTGTGAGTTAGAATCAGTTCCATGGCATTGGGCTTCATTTTGGTTTTCTTACTCTAGAAGCTAAATGATTTTGATGGCAGGGAAAAATGAATTCTGGGAGAACCTATCAGCCCTGCCTTTACCCTGGAGCCTCCATCTTGGAGCTTTCTTCCACCCGTCAGAGCCAAAGGGCAATCTGGTTACATTGACTGCCCTCTAGAGTCCTGTTTTTTGGAATGAGGGTGGCATTGGGGGAGAAAACGCAAGTCCAGAGATTAAGAACAGGTTTGCAAACCCTGAAATGGGCCAAGAAGGTGGTACAGTTTGTCTGTGGGACTGCCCAAGCCAATAAGGAAATAGGACACATGGGTATGGCAAGAACCAGAAAAATGGGTAAACAGAAAGCTAGGTGCAGATAAGGGCACCAGGGCAGAAGTTAGAGTACAGTCAGGCAAGCCACGAAGAGTCAATCTGGGGAGGCTTCTTGAAGGAGGAAGCCCCAAAGGAGAAGAAAACATTTTTGAGTACTAGGGGCTGAAGTCCTGCCCTAGAGCAGCGGGACAAGTCAGTTGTGGGAAAGAGGGCAAGACCAGAGCTGCAAAGGTTCTTGCTGGGCCGGTTCTCCAAGAAGCTGCCCTCACCAGGTTGCTTTTACCCCTGCAGAGGAATCTCAAGTGCCAAAACCTCCCCCAGAGACTCCGGCCATGCCTTCCCGACCTCTTCCACCCCAGAGCCTGGAGGGGCTGCAGCCAGCAGGACCTGAGACTGGGGCCCTGGAGCGAGCCCCTATCCAGAATAGCCCCTGGAAGGAGACCAGCTTGGACCACCCCTACGAGAAGCCCCGGAAGTCTTCTGAGCCCAGTAGCGAGTCTAGGTCAGATGGGAAGGAAGGACGTGCTAGGGGTACAGCAGACAGAAAGGGGGAGAGGCGTGGGACACCTTTCTCCTTTGTGATGGTGGGTGTGTGAATTTGATAATTCCTAAGAGTGCTAGTAATCGCACCACTAACTTTGGGGCCCCCTTCCATTGTGTCCCCATTCCTCTGAATGCCCTGGAGGGAGGCATACCTACCACAAACCTGTCCCCAATCTTTCTGCAGCAGTCCAGCTACCACACCACAGGATGGGCCCAGCATGTCCAGCCTTTGGCTGCCGGAGTCAGCTTCCTTCCATGTGGTCCCCATCCTCAGTGTTCCTGGTCAGCGGCCGGGCCGCACAAGTGCTCCCGCCACCCCCGAGATGCAGGGAAGGAGGGGCCAATCGAAGTCTCTGAGGTAAGAGACAGCTAGCCCAGGGTTTTGGGAGCAGGGAGAGAGTCCCTTCTAGGAACAGGTAGGACTTCCTGTGGGTGACAGCTGGCTTCGTCTTAGAATATCTTCTTGGAGCACCTCTCCATAGATGTACAGCCAAAGGCAAGTCATTTATAAAGCAAGTCGTTTTCTTCAAAAGACTCCAGTTTGGGGCGTTTTTTTGCATAAGTTCATTCACATTTTTTACCCTTGTCATGTTCTCTTTTGTTAGCAGATATTTTGGAAAATGTTTTGTTATTAGCCATTGACAATGAATGATCCACTTTGTCAACTGGTATATTGACTTAAATATCATGTCATGGCAGACAGTGTTAATCATACCACCTGGGGGCCCAGGCCATCATTAGGGATCGCCGGGGCTCTCTGTCTGCATAAATTCATTTGTCAGGCATCCTTGGACTGTCAAGGAGTTTTATACTAGGCCTGGGTCAGAACCAATTCAAAGGCACTTACAACAACAACCTAGAAAGCGGAGTCCCGGTGTAGCTCTGTAGTAAACACTGGACTGCTAACCTCAAAGTTGGTGGTTCAAATCCACCAATCACTCCTCGGAAACCCTATACAGGGCCGCTGTGAGTCAGAACCGTACTTGAGGACACTCAACAACACCTTGATAGCACAAACATTACCTTTGTGCCCATTAGAAAAGGGCGCCCCCTTTGGGCAACCACCACTCATGGCAACTGGATTAGAAGCCCCTGTGGAGGGCCCACCTGTGTTTGGCTGCCTTGGGTACCACGTACAGCTTTTATACATTCAAGTTGAAAATACCTAACCATATATATCTACCTGACCAGATGAAATGTCTGGAAAGATAGGACATTTATTTAGTCTACTTTATATGACTAATAATTGTGTGAGTGAAGCTGACTTCAGTTTTGTGTCATGATACCAGTACCAGTTGTCTTTGGGTTGACTCTCATGTATGGCAACTCCATGTGTGTCAAGAGTAGAATTGCACTCCATAGTTTCCAATGACAGATTTTTCATAAGTCGATCACCAGGCCTCTTTCTTCCAGGGCACCTCTGGGTGGGCTTGACCCTCCAACCTTTCAGTTAGTAGCCACTCTTTCCAATACCCATGGACTCCAAGTAGTGTTGGAATGCATTGATTTCCAACAGTAGGCCAAAGGGTTTGCTTGGGGGAGTTTTGCCTGAAGGCCCATGTGAGTGTGTGGATGTCCTGGTCTCTTCTTGCCTCGCCTGTTGTCTGCCTCTCAGACTCTTGTGTCTCCCTCTCCCTGTCAGGGTGGATTCCTTCCGGGCTGGACCAGAGGGTCGAGGCCGCAGCGTCTTTCCCCGACGTCGTCCCACTCACTACACAGTGACCGTGCCAGACTCGTGCTTCCCCGCTACCAAGTCCTCCCTGCCGCCCCCTGCCTACCACTCCTGCTCAGAAGACAGTGGCTCCGATGTCTCCAGCATCTCCCACCCCACGTCACCAGGCAGCAGCAGCCCCGACATTTCCTTCCTTCGGCCCCTCTCCCCACTTGAGCTCCCTCACCACCTTGGGGCTTGGGTACCTCACTACCCCCAGCTCCTTTTGCCCCCGGGGTACTTCCCAGCGGGGCGGTATGTGATGATGGCTGAAAACCACCCTATGGCTTATGAGGACGAAGGGGCGTCCCTGCGCTATCAGCGGCTAGTGGCCGCCCACAGCCGCATCGTGCGCACGCCCTCCCTGAAGGACAGCCCTGCGGGCCGGGGGCTTAGCAAGGCAGCAGTTTCGGAGGAGCTCAGGTGTTGGCATGAACGCGCGCGCTTGCGGAGCGCTCGCCCCCACTCGCTGGACAGGCAGGGGGCCTTCCGAGTCAGGAGCCTGCCCCTAGGGAGAGAGAGCTTCTCACGAGCCCTGGGACCACAGGCACAGGTACGGCCAGGCAGGACTCCCCTCCTGGGTCAGCTGGGGGTAGGGGCTGGGATTCTAGCAGGTGGCAGAGTAGAAAGACAGAAGGCCTTCAGCCTAGTGGCTAGGAAATCCCCAGCTAGGAAGAGTGAGCGAAAAATCATTTCCTCTTGGCTTGGAAGGCTTGCTTGACTCCCTGAGGCCCTCTTCATTTTGCCTGCCACAGCTAGCCCCAGAGCACATACCAGTTTACTGGTAGAGATCATCTTTGCAGATAGCTGATATTTTGTTTTTCTCTCTAATGGTTCCATTGTAGATAATCCACTAAATTGATAAACCTCTGTTCATAATCCAGAGCCCAATCCAAATTTGGTGCCTAAAATTAACTCTCAGATCTCCTGATTTTTGAGGGCCCGGGATAAATGGAGAATGTGGAGATGAGTTTGCAGAGGACAGAACCTGTGAATGCCTTTTGTTTAATTAACTCCATGACTCCTCACCCCCTCTCCCCACTCCCACATACTGAGAAGTAAGCTTACATAATGATTAAGAGCACCTACCCACTACCTTCTATTTGATTCTGATTCATATCGACCCAGTATGGGGATTCTGAAATGAAATCTTTATGAGAGCAGACTCATCTTTCTTCTGCAGAGTAGCTGGTGGGTTTGAACTATTGACCTTGAAGTTAGAAAACCACACAGTGCCACCAGGACTCTTCGGTTAATGGCACAGACCCTCTCAAATTCCAGTACTTTTACTTTCAAGTTATATGACTGGGCAAGTTGACCCCTCTGAGCCCCTGTTTTCCCTTCTGTAAAATGGGTTCAGTAAAACCCATTTTAGGCTACTAAGGTTTAAATGAGTTAAGAGATATAAAGTACTTCCAGCAGCACCAGAATATAGTAGGTAATCGATCTGTGATGTGCTCATTACTCAAGGCCTCAGAAGCCCAGCACCAGGCTGGTGGGTAGCAGATGGGATAGAGTATTCTGAAATGAAGCATGGTTGCCACCCTGGTTTCTATGTGCCCCAATTCTTCATTCAGGAAGTGGAGTTAGCACACATGAATCCTTTCTTTATTTCTCCCTGGTACTGAAGGCTCTATAGGGGACGTGCTCCAGAAGTTGCCAACAGGCTACCTCTGTGAGACTCATGAATCTCAGCAGGCCTAGCCAGCTGCTCATTCCTCCCCCACCCAGTAGGTCTTGGAGCTGCAGCTGGCATCCTGGGCCTGGCAGCAACCCTAGCTCCAATCCCAGGCCGCACCCTTCAGCTGGTATACTTTTCCCTTCATTCGAGCTTGGACCTGCCCTTGGCCCAAGCCCAGCCCATTCCAACCTGCCAAACAGGGAAGGTGACAGGAGTGAGTCTGAAAAAGGGGGAGAAAGAGAAGGTGTGGATGTCCATCACACCTTAAAGGAACTTAGAGTGAAAGATTGCCCATGGGGTGGGCAATGAGCCAGGGGTGGTGAGGCAGTGGCAGAAGTTGAATGGTGGAGCTGGTGCCGGTACAGATCAGCACCCTAAATGAACAGGGTGGTGTAGGTGCATTTGCTGTCTGGACTTCTCCACCTGGTTCACTCACTCACCTTTTCTTTCTTCCTGGTCCTGGCAGGTGCCTACAGTGTGTGTGCTCCGGAGATCACCTGAGGGGGCCCCTGTACAAGTCTTTGTACCTGAGAATGGGGAGATCATCAGCCAGGTGTAGCAAGGCCAGGTGTCAACTTGTGCTCCGAATGCCTGCACCCCACTATTGGAAAAGACTTTTTCACAGCAGGGCTGGACTGAGGCCCACTCCGCCTGAGTATCTTCCTTCAGCTTTCCACCCACATCGCTGGTCGATAACTGGAGCTGAAGCTTTTTTTTTAAAAAAAAAACAGTTTGGGTTTAGAAGTCCTGGCCTGAAAATTTATGTGTATTTTGATCTAAGATCATTGTAATATGATTATTTTATCCCCCAAGAGACTGACCTACTAGACTTGGAGCCTTCCTTGTCTAATAACATTTGTATCCTTTTGCAAAATAAGTGGCAGGAGATGTACAAAGTACTGATGGCCAGATCAGGATCCCTCAGAAGAAAGTCCCCAGAGAACAGCTCCTGGCCTTCCAGTCCCACTATTGCAGGAGGCTGGATGTGCTGCACATTCCTGCACAGAACTCTTCCCATATCCCAGGTCTCTGGGTACTATAGGACTTTGCACGTGCTCTGTGATGCACACACTAAGTGGCAGGCTATAAAGGTCAGTACATTCTGGTGGAATATTGTCTTTCTAGACTCAACTATTTTTCTGATCCCATAAACTTTCTTTGGGGCCCTCAGTCACCAAGCCCTCTCTATGCCCTGTTGTCTCCCAGCCTCTATTCCAACCTGACTTTGAGGTTTCATTCAATCGTAGCACCCGAGCACTGGACTGGGGATTGGCCTGAGGCATACATTGGTGGAAAGCAACCCATTCTTTGACCATCCTCTCTAGATACTACATGGGTTTGCAATCTCACTACACCTTAACATCTTTTCGTCATAGTCCTAGACACCAACAGACCAAAACCCTTATCAATAATTTTGGAAAGGTACCACTTTTTGTGGTGTGTTCTCAGAGAGGGGCCACTGTTCCTACTTCCCAACCCATCTCTGCTTTTGCTCTGAGTTTGCGGATTTCTCTTGAAAGAAGCAATGTCCTTATTTATGCAAACCTAGAAATACTTACCTCTGAGTATTGGTGAGATGTAGTTTTTTTTTAGAGGGCATTTGTTCCAGCTGACCAAGAGCAAGTTTGGAAATTGCCAGAAGATAGTTCTAGGGTTCTCTTGCTCTGGGGCCTTCTTTGCTACCAGATTAGACTCCCAGGTAGAGATCCTGCTTCAGTGAGAAAACAGCTGCTTTGAGGCTAGAAGAGATTAGGGAAAGCTGAGTTCTGAGTTTGCCCATGCAGAACCCTCTCCCCTTCAAATCCCCTGGACTTCTTGGTCAGAGACTATGACTTAAGGCACTAAGAACTTTGATGCCTGACCTAAATGAAGCACAGTTCTCCCAGGTGGAGATAAAGTGGATTGCACAGGGTGCCATGGGAAGAACAAGGTGGCCCTGCAGAAGGAGGGGAAGCACCTGGTCTTTCTTGCCAGGCCTTTACCACATCCTGCACCTCCCTATGTCTTTTTGGGTGACCCGGCTACCTATTATATTCTCCTGCTCTACTTTAGATGATGTTCTCTTCTAGTTTGTCTCTTGGCCCCTTCCCAATATATAGCACCTCCTACCCCCATCCATGCTGGTGCCCAGAGCACCTTGGGCTGAGCCTGAAGATGTCTGACTTTCCCCTTCCCAGTTGAGGGTTCCTCATATTAACTTATTGGTCCTATCTGACACCCGGTGACATTACAGACTGGCTGTGCACTCAGCTGTAGGGTTGGAACTGTGTGGGATTTAGTGCCAAATACATCAATAAAGTCTGTTCTTTGTGACTGATTGGCTGAGCTGATGATGGTGGAATTTTTGTACAAATAGTGGAGCAGAGGTTCTGCCCTGTCCTTCAGGGCACACCCAAGGTGAGAAAGTTGCCTGGCCTCTCCAGCTGGTCAGGCCAGGTCCCTGGGGGTGGGAGGATGGGTGGGGGTGGTGGAGGAAGGACCTCCTCTGTTTTCTGCTTCCGTGGCAGGATGAAAGCAAACTCCACCCCAGTCAAAAAGCCCTAAGGGCTCTGGGATCTCTTCTCCAATGAGAACTTTTTTTTTCAATTTAAACATGGAAGTGGACATTTAAATTTTATTTTATTTCATTTGTCTTGTGAAAATATGCACAACAAAGCATACACCAACTCTGCAAGTTCTGTCTGTACAATTCAGTTACACTGATTATAGTCTTCGAGTTGGGCAAACATTCTCTCCAACCTTTTCCAAATTGTTCTACCACTGTCTTAGGCCAGGTTTTCTAGAGAAGCAAGATCAGCAAAGCATATATATATATATATATATATGTAAGTTTGTTATCGTACTACTGTAGAATACCAGGTCCCCAGCAGAAGCCCTGATGTGGTACTGTGGGTTAATGCGCTGGACTGCAAAGTCAGTTTGAACTGCAGGGTAGGTGGTTCAAGTTCACCAGTCACTCCTAGGAAACCCTATACAGGGTCACTTAACAGCTGCTTATACAGGGTCACTTAACAGTGTGTCCACACCCCCAAGGAAGCTGGCCCCACCCGCAGGAAGTAGCTCTTCAATTGATTGGCTGCTCATAGCTGCTCATCATAGAGCTAATTATGCCTGTATTTGATTTCATCACCATGGGAACAAGCACATCCCAACTGCTAAACCTCTGGAAATCCTGGCCAGGTCAAGTTGACACAAAGCCCTAACCATTAAGATAAACTCACTGAGAGGTCATCAAAAAATCAGGGAGGCATAAGATGACGTAAGGAGGAGCACAAGAGTTCAAGGTGACAGAGACAAATACTGTTATATACACAATCCTGATCTATAAGTGGATGCATGCAGAGACCTATGCAGACTGGATGGTGTGGGAAGAAGAGTGGGACTATACCTTGGAACATATATAGGTTTGACAGGCTATTTGTACATGGCTATTGACCCTTGCTGAAAATATACCCATAAATGTGGAGCATACAGGGGCAAAGTTATGAAAACTTCTTAGATATAACCAAATGCCTTGAGGTAATGAGTTGCTGTGCCCAGGGCTCAGGATCAGAGTCTTGGGGGACTCCGTGGGCAATTGGCATAACATAACCCACAAAGACAATCTTTTCTACATCTTAACCTTGGTTAGTAGAGAGTGGGTCTTAAAAGCTTGCAAGCAGCCATCTAAAGTGCAACTGTTGTTCTCTCCCTGTCCTGAGAAAGAAAGAGTGATGAAAATCGAAGATGTCTGCAAACAATTTATCCAATGGACTAATGGAACACGAGAACATCAGCTTTCACAACCCTGAGACCAGAAGAGCTAGTTTGAGCCTGACTACCACTACGAACTGCTCTGAAAGAGATTACATTAGAAGGTCATGGACAGAGTAGAAAAAAATGTGGAATGAAACTCAAAAAAACCTGGACTTACTGGTCAGATAGAGACTGGTAGGAGGACCCTTAAGACAATGGCCTTAGTCACCCTTCAGGGTTGGAACTGAATTGATCCCCATGGCTAAATTTCCAGTCCAACACTAGACAGATCTATAAGGGCACCATTAGCTAGGGTTACCAACCATTTGAGATCAAAAGGGCAGCATTTGCTCAAGGACAAAATTCAGAAGGGTCGGGAAAGAAGGGTTACAAAAGACACAGGAAGGAAGTGGGCTAAGTGATGTTACATTGCAATCAATGCCACGAAACAATATAGTTGCTGTATGAAAAACTCATCTGCTCCATAAACTTTCACCCAACATACAAACAGAAGTTCAAGAAAGAAAAATAAATAAATAAATAAACTCACTAGCAGCTTCAGGAGGTCTGACTGGGGCTGGACCAGGCTAGGCTGTGGTTAGAAATGGGGTGTGATTAAGAGTCTCCAGCCCCATGAGGCTGTATCTGGAGTGCTTGACTAGCTAGCCAGTGAGAGTAGAGGACCTAATGAGAAAGACACCCTTCCCCAAAGCTGGAATGCTGGGAACATTTCTTGGAATGGGGATGAGGTCGGTTTCTCTACAAGGGCCCCTTTCTCTTAGGGAGATAGCCTCTGCCACTCCCTCCACCAGGGGTCCTCAGAGAGTGGGGGTGGGAGCTCAGAATACTAACTATAGGGGTCGCTCTAGGGCCTGGGGGCCACAGCGCCCCCTGGACTGCCAGTGCCCAGGAAAAGAGTGTGCTCTGGATCTGTGAGGTGGCCAGCGTGTCAGGTAGAGGGGCCCTGCCCACCTGTCTCCCTCTATAGGAAAGGAAGGAACATGGCAAGAAGGACCTGGGCAGATGGCTATGGGTAGGGGTGACTCCAGCCCTGCCCTGGGGGCTGGCAACTAGGGACTGTGGAAATCTGGGCCTGGTTTACTTAAGCTAAGGAGTGCTGAAAGGGAAGGTGGCTCCAGGGATCTCTGAAGAGGTTTCAGACATTCAGACCTCAGATTCTGAGCATCTTCAACTTACTTATGAGTTGTGGGGGATGAGGAGTTTGCCTTTGTATTTTAGATCATTGCGATGAGTTAAAAACAAACCCACTGCCATTGATTCAATTCTAACTCATGCTGACCCTCTACAGGGTTTCCAAGATTGTCATCTTTACAGCAGTAGGCAGTCTCAGCTTTCTCCCATGGAACAGCTGGTGGGTTTGAACTGCTTCCTTTATGGTTATCCTACAGAGCCACCCAGAGAAACCTTGATCAAGTGTCCGCATGGTCCCAAGGGGTGACATATCTGAACAGGAAGCTACTTAGCAATAGCACAGACCAAGACCAATTAAAAGGAACTTTCTTCTCTGAGAAAGGACCGTGTGTGCGTGTGTGTGTGTGTGTGTGTGTGTGTGTGTGTGTGTGTGTAGTGTGGCTCTTCTAAGAGCAGCGTGCAGTGGGATGCATGCATTTGGGAACCCAAAGCTCAGGGTAGAGAGAGAACCAGGTTGTGCAGCTGTTTCTTCCTGGTCCACAGTATGTGGAGTCCTGGTATGGCACTGTAGAATAAGTACTGGACAGTTAAACACAAGGTTGACAGTTTAAATCCACCAGTTGCTGCTTGGAAACCCTATACAGGGTCACTATGAATCAGAACCAACTTGAT